CGGGGGACACGGGACACGGGACACGGGACACGGGGACACGGGGGACACGGGGCGTGAGCGGGGACGCGGGACACGGGGGACACGGGACACGGGACACGGGACACGGGGACACGGGGGACACGGGCGTGAGCGGGACGCGGGACACGGGGACACGGGCGTGAGCGGGGACGCGGGACACGGGGACACGGGACACGGGACACGGGACACGGGGACACGGGGGACACGGGACAGGGGGACACAGGGACACGGGACAGGGGGACACGGGACATGGGGACACGGGACACGGGACACGGGGACACGGGGGACACGGGACAGGGGGACACGGGGACACGGGACAGGGGGACACGGGACACAGGACATGGGGACACGGGACACGGGGGACACGGGGACACGGGGGAACACAGACATGGGGGACACGGAACACGGGACACGGGGGACACGGGACACGGGACATGGGGACACAGGACACGGGGGACACGGGGACACGGGACATGGGACACGGGACATGGGGACACGGGACATGGGGACACGGGACACGGGACATGGGGACACGGGACACGGGGATACGGGACATGGGACACGGGACACAGGGGACACAGGACACGGGGGACACACGAGGACACGGGGAACACGGGAACATGGGGACATGGGACACGGGGACACGGGACACAGGGGACACGGGAACATGGGGGACACGGGGACACGGGGGGATGCTGGGGACACGGGGGACACGGGGGCACGCTGGGGACACGGGTATGGGGCACATGAGGAGACACTAGGGGACATGAGACATGGGGGACACAGGGGACATGAGGGGCGCAAGGGGCCATGATGGGGCAGGGACCGGGCCTGAGACCCGCCAGCCGGCAGGGACATGTGGGGACACCCCCCCCCGGGGGGGGCACCCTGGACATGCATTTCCTTCCCACACATCCACTGATCGAGACATAGACAGACAGACATATACATGCAAACACAAATACAGACAGATGGATACATAGATACATAAGACACTTAGATGGAACATACAGAGATTCACAGATAGTTAGGTAATATAAATGGACTGATCATCATGCGTAGATATGCAGATAGATAATAGATAGTTAACAGATAATGCAGACACATACATACTTATACATAGATTCACAAACAGATCATAAGTAGACTGATAATAGATGATACATAGTTACATAATAGATAACAAAGACTGATAGATAATAGATACATACCTACACATAAATAGATAGATACACAGACAGACAGATAGTAGACAGACAGATCATCCTTTCTTCTTAATCCTCCAAGCCTAGGCTATAATAGAAATCCCAGTAAATCTAAGTATTTAAAATAACTGGGAGTGGGCCAGTTTCTGGGGGCTCACGCCGGTCATCCCAGCTACCCGGGAGGCTGAGATCTGAGGATCGCAGTTCAAAGCCAGCCCAGGCAGCGAAGTCCATGAGACTCTGATCTCCCATGAACTCCCAATGAAGTCAGAAGTGACGCTGTGGCTCACGTGGTAGAGCACCAGCCCTAGCTCAGGGACAGCGCCCGAGGCCCTGAGTTCGAGCCCTGGGTCCGGCACCAGAGACTGAAAAGGGAAAGGGACTGCTCTGGAAAGGACGGGGGAGTTCGGGCGGGTTTCGAACCCACCGCAGAAGCCGGGCTGGCGCCAGGGGATGACCACGCCCCTGCGCGCGCAGGCCTGGGCGTAGCTGGCCACGGAGGCGCACAGACACTCGTGGCCGTCGGAGCATGCGCACACGTCATACTGGCAGTTCCTCACATAGGGCCGGGGGCTGATGGCGGGGTGGCAGGCCTCGAACACGGACGACATCAGGACCCCGCAGGCCTCCTCCGCAAACCTGGCTGCGGCCGAGAGAGAAGCAGCCTGAGACAGACCCTGCGGGGCCACGGGGACTCGAACACCCAAAGCCCCGAGAGGAGAGCTTCTCTGAACACCCCGCCCCCGTCTCCCTGGCAACCCCACAGCCCCAGTGTCCCCAGTGATTGGCTCTCCTGAAGGCCGGGGGCTCCCGCCTGTCATCCCTGCTTCTCAGGAGGAGGCTGAGATCTGAGGATCACGGTTCAAAGCCAGCCTGAGCAGGAAAGTCTGTGAGACTCTGATCTCCCATGAACCCCCAGAAAACCAGAAGTGGCGCTGTGGCTCAAGTGAGCTGAAGAGCTCAGGGGCAGCGCCCAGGCCCAGAGTTCAAGGCCCACAACCAAAAGAGGTGGGGGGGAGGAGGGGGGGGGGACTGGGAAGATGTCAGGGATCAATGTTGATGGTAGAAAATGAAATGAAGGCTCCTATCTGCATGCAGCACGCATGCACACAGTGGGTGCTTGAACCCACAGGCTGCTTGGATCCCCACCCCGGGGCTGGGGTCCCCACGTACCCAGGCGCGGGTTGAGGCTGCAGGGGTGTCTGTCCTGACTCTCCAGGTCCTGGCAGTCGGCCTGGAGCTTCCAGGAGTTGCCGAAGTCGGCCACTAGGGGCTCCACCAGGCCGGCGGGCGTGAGGAAATCATCGCCCTGGTTTCCGTTGTAGTTCCCGCACAAGCCGCAGGTCCTCCCCCAGTAAACCGGGGACAGCTGCGGGGAGAGACCGCGTGGATGGGGCAACGCCTGCTACATTCAGCTTATCAGCTGGGACTTGAACTCAGAGCCCGGACGCTGTCCCTGAATTCACTCAAGGCTGGCGCTCTACCACTTGAGCCCCAGCTCCACTTCCGACTTTTCGCTGGCTCACTGGAGATCAGCGTCTCATGGGCTTTCCTACCCGACGTCAGCTTTGAACCACGATCCTCAGATCGCAGCCTCCTGAGTAGCTGGGATTGTGCATGAGCCACCGACGCCCAGCATGAGATGGTTTTGATCCAAAAAGTGCTTTTGTCAGACACTGAAGTTCTCACACCTATCATCCTAGCTACTTAGGAAGCTAAAACCCAGAGGATCCTGATTCAAAGCCAGCCCGGGCAGTGAAGTCTATGAGAGACTCTAGCTTCAGTTAACCAGCAAAAAGCTGAGCTGGGGGCATGGCTCAAGTGGTAGAGCACCAGCCTTGCACACACAAAAAAAAAAGCCCAGCAAGCCCAAGACGCCATGAACAAGAGGACATGGCTGGCAGGTTCAGGAGCCCCATGATGGGTGGGGCATGTGGGGTGCCCCCTGGCCACCTCTCTATAGGTGGAGGTGCAGGACAGTCCAGTTCTGTTCGATCACCAGTGGGTGCCAGGAGATCACTCCACAAACCTGCAAGCCAAGGGGGTTACCAACTCCCCAGAGGGGGGGAACCCCCGGGGGCCCACCCCAGGGGGTCCCAGAAAACAGCAGCTTCTCCATAACAAGAGAGCCCCTGTTCCTTGCTCTGGGGGGGGGGCACAGGCCCTGAGAACAAAGGAATTCTTCCTACCACATAATGTCACTCTGGGGGAGGAGGGCGGGGGGGGGGCTGGGGGGGAGACCCGCTGTCAGGCTGGGGCTCCCAAGAGGAGACCTACCTTCAACAGAAGCCTGCCCCGGCCATCCCAGTCCAATTCCATGTCCTCCCCAAAGCTGAGACGCACGGAGGGCATCACGGTGTGCTGGATCCTGAGGTCCCCTGTGAACCGGCGGGACAGGATGAAGGCCGAGGCGGGGTAGGGGCGGCCGTGCTGGCCAGCCCGTGTGTTGTGGGAAGAACATAGATGGCTCCAAAGACCACTTCAATAACGCTGGGGGGCCCACGGCTCCCGCCTGTCATCCCAGCTCCTCGGGAGGCTGAGATCGGAGGATCGCAGTTCGAGGCCAGCCTGGCTAGACTCTTATTTCCAGCTCAGCAGCAAAAAAGAAAAGAAAAATCTGGAAGTGAAGGGTGTGGCTCAAGTTGTAGAAACGCCAGCCTTGAGAATAATAAAAACAAGCCAGGCACCCGTGGCTCACGCCTGTCATCCTGGCTACTCAGGAGGCTGAGATTTGAGGATCGTGGTTCAAAGCCAGCCCGGGCAGGAAAGGCCGTGAGACTCTTACCTCCAGTGAACTACTTGGAAAGAGCCAGAAGTGGCGCTGTGGCTCAAATGGTAGAGCACCGGCCTTGAGCACAAACAGACTCAGGGACAGCACCCAGGCCCTGAGAATACTGAGAATACTATAGAGTAATGACCAGCACGGTGGGCAGCCATGGGGGTTGGGGGGATGGTGTAGGAGGGATGGGGGTGGTGATCAGGGCAGACAACTTCAAGTAGGATTTAAACCAGCCTCTGACCACCCCCCCCCCACACACACACACACCGCCCAGCTCAGGGCCTGTCATTCCCCTCATGGCCACAAGGGTGCAGCAGAGGCTCCCACACCCTTGACTTTAAATGGCAGGTGCCTAAGGCTAAGAGACCCTTCCTTGATCTGGGCCCCAGACAGCTGTGGGAAGATGGAGACGGGCAAGGGGTCTGGCCTCCTTTGAAGATGCAGTTTGGGAATGGTACAAAGTGATTCAGGATAGATGGCTAGGGACGCAGAGAAATTACATCACAAACAAATAGCACACGGGAGCCGGTGGCTCACGCCTGTCATCCCAGCTAGTCAGGAGGCTGAGAGAGATCTGAGGACCACAGTTCAAAGCCAGTCTGGACAAGAAAGCCAGTGAGAGTCTTATCTCCAATAAACTAATCAGAAAAGGCAGGAAAGTGGCATTGTGGCTCGAATGGTAGAACACTAGCCTTGAGCACCAAAGCCCTAAGTTCAAGTCCTAGGGCTGGAAAAGAAAAACAATTATCCACTGCTGCTTGGCTTTTTCACTCCAGGCGGGCGCTCTACCACTTGAGCCACAGCTCCACTTGCAGCTTTTTGGTGATTCATTGGAAATAAGAGACTCAAAGGCTTTCCTGCCCGGGCTGGCTTTGAACCACGATCCTCCGATCTCAGCCTCCTGAGTAGCTGGGATGACAGGCCGGAGTCACTGGCACCCAGCAGTATTTTTGCTTTGATTGTCAGGGTATCACCTGGTGAGAATCCCAGACAGGAAGGTGTGTCCCCCAAGGCGGGGGGGGGGTGTCACTGAACTTGCCCCTAGTGGTGTCCTTAGGTCCAACTGACCAACAGCCCCCCCAACCCCAATTCCTTTAGGGCAGGAACGCACACCCCAAATGCACTGAGTCCTCCAAAGATAACACCCTATTATGTACGGGGGAGGGGGGAGGGGGCTCCCTGGCAGGGGGGAAGCCCACCTTGCAGGAGGGGGAGCTGGATGTCTAGGTTATCCATGGTGACCTCTCCCCCGTGCTTCAGCTTCACGAGGCTGTTGTGGGGGGCAGGCAGCCGCACAGTGACCGAGCGGGTACACACAGCGTCCACGTCGTCCGCACACTGCCGAGAGAGACGCGGGCTGCCCTGGTCACCGCCCTGGCCCGCCCAGGGCCCGCCTAACCAGAGAAAGGCCGCCAGCCAAGGGAGCTGGGGCTTCTTCTCAGGAGCACACAGGGGCCCAGCCTGCTCAGATGCACCTTGTTCTCCTCAGAGCCTCCTGATTGGCTGACTGGGTCAGGCACACTGATTGGCTGGGCCAGGCACATTGATTGACTGACCAGGTCAGACACACTGATTGGCTGGCTGGGCCAGGCACACTGATTGGACTGGGTCAAGCACACTGATTGGCTAGGCCAAGCTCACTGATTGACTAACTGGGTCAGACACACTGATTGGCTGGCTGGGTCAGGCACACTGATTGGCTGGGCCAGGCACATTGATTGACTGACCAGGTCAGACACACTGATTGGCTGGCTGGGCCAGGCACACTGATTGGCTAGGCCAAGCTCACTGATTGACTAACTGGGTCAGACACACTGATTGGCTGGGCCAGGCACACTGATTGATTGACTAGGTCAGATACACTGATTGGCTGGCTGGGCCAGGCACACTGATTGGCTGGGCCAGGCACATTGATTGACTGACCAGGTCAGACACACTGATTGGCTGGCTGGGCCAGGCACACTGATTGGCTGACTGGGTCAAGCACACTGATTGGCTAGGCCAAGCTCACTGATTGACTAACTGGGTCAGACACACTGATTGGCTGGCTGGGCCAGGCACACTGATTGGCTGACTGAGTCAAGCACACTGATTGGCTGGGCCAGGCACACTAATTGTCTGGGTCAAGCACACTGACTGGCTGGCTGGATCAGGCACACTGGTTGGCTGGCTGTGCCAGGCACACTGGCTGAGTCAGGAACACTGATTGGCTGGCTGGGCCAAGTTCACTGGTTGGTTGACTGGGTCAAGCACACTGATTGGCTGGGCCAGGCACACTGGTTGGCTAACTGGGCCAAGCACACTGATTGGCTGAGCCAAACTCACTGATTGGCTGACTGAGACCAGCTCCCTGATTGGCCAGCTGAGTCAGGCACACTGATTGGCTGGCTGGGCCAAGCTCACCTGCATGGTCTCTATGACAACGGAGAAAGAGTGGTCCAGGCAGTCCTTGGCCAACTGATACTGGCAGATGCCACTGAAGGTGAAGTGTCTGTTATCGAAGCTCTTGAAGTGACCCTGGCCCGTGACAAGACATTCTCCTAGAGAGACCCAGATGACGGGGGTGAGACTTCATCCTCCCCACCCACCCCCCAGTCCCGTGCCAGTCCAAAGGGGGTTCTAGAAGATTCGAAACTCAGTTCCCACTGGGCACAGTGGCTCATGTCTGTCATCCTAGCTACTCAGGAGTCTGAGGTTATAAGGATCGTGGTTCAAAGCCAGCCCAGGCAGTACTGTCTGTGAGACTCTTATGTCCAATGAACCACCAGAACAGGGAAGCGGAGCCGTGGCTCAAAGTGGTAGAGCGCTCGCGTTGAGCGAAAGGAGCTCAGGGACAGCGCCCAGGCCCCGAGTTCAAACCCCAATCATCAGGAAAGAAAACAAATCAGTTCTTCTCTGTGCCTCTGATCATATGAAATAAAATAATATTTAGCAAAATGAACTCCAGGAAATACAGACAAGAGGGTTTTTTTTCTTTGTCATTGTTTTGTTTTCTCTCTGTCTCGTGGGTTGGTTTCTCTGTCTCTGGGAGGGTGAGGGGGCACAGAAATGGGGGGACAGAGGGTGGACATGTTACTGTCACCCTCTGCACATCCTCTTTATCATCACTATTTTTTTCTGTTAGTCGTGGGGCTTGAACTCAGAGCCCGGGCACTGCCCTTGAGCTGTTTCCCTGAACGCTGGTGCTCTCCCACTTGAACCACAGCTCCGCTTCCAGCTTTTTGCTGATGCCATCGGGGAGAAGAATCTCCCCAGACTTTGGGCCATACTCCTCAGATCTCAGCTTCTCGAGTTGCTGGGATTACAGGCAGAGCCACCGGTGCCCGGCAGTAAGAACTGTTTGGTTTCAGAAATCACTACCACCGAGAAAACCGTGAAATGGCCATTTGTGTCAACTACCTTTGACCCTGTATGCAGCGAGAGGAATTAATTCTTCCCCAGCACCCCCTCTCTGTCTGTCTCTGTGTCTCTCTGTCCCTCTGTCTGTCTCTGTCTCTCTCGCTCATTCTGTGTGTGTGTTCAAGAATGCCCTTATCTAAATAAGACTCTGGACTTTCCTGATTTTCCACAATGCCCAGGAAGAGAGAGGTCAATGAGAAAAATGTACAAATATCCAAAAGTGAAAGCTGTGAGCCGCAATCTAATCCTCCCATCTGCTTGCCCGCCCTGAGGCTCCGCCATTTCTTCCTGGGGAATCAGAAATCTAAATGTTCTACATCGCTTATCTCCTTGGGACAATTGTGAGGGACAGAGGGGCAAAGACCGGAAACCCCCGGAAATGGTTGAGGGCCCTGCCAGCAGGGTTTTGTTTTGAACATCCTACAACCCCAACAGGTCACGTGCCCAGCTCACCCCCCTCTGCCCAGATCCCCACACTTCTGCTATTCAAAGCCAGAATGCGAAAACAAATCTGGTCCAGGCGCTGGTGGCTCCCGCCTGTCATCCCAGCGACTCAGGAGGCTGAGATCTGAGGATCATGGTTCAAAACCAGCCTGGGCAGGAAAGTCTGTGAGACTCTGATCTGCCATGATCCACCAGAAAACTGGAAGTGGCACTGTGGCTCAAGTGGTAGAGCGCCAGCCTTGAGCTGAAGAGCTGAGGGACAGCGCCCAGGTCCTGAGTTCAAGACCCGGGACTGATAAAAAAAAAAAAATCTGGCCCTACAAATACACCTAACTAAAGGCATCCTACAAAGTAGAACATCCAGAAGTTAAAGCAGACCCGCTCACAAATAAAGATGCTTCTTTATTTAAAGAAGAAGGACACTGAATACTGTGGGGTCACGCCTGTCATCCCAGCTACTCAGGAGGCTGAGATCTGAGGATCATGGTTCAAAGCCAGCCTGGGAAGGAAAATCTGTGAGACTGCGGATCTCCAATCCGCAGACAAGCCTTCAGACAAAATCATCTGTGTGTGTGTGTGTGTGTGAGAGAGAGAGAGAGAGAGAGAGGCCTACCTGGGCATTCTTCATTGCTACAAATCCACACGCCTTTCCTGCAAATGCTGTTGGAGAAAAACAGCCCAGGGTCACTGAAGTTCTGCAGAAATGAGGGCCCACGGGGGGGGGGATGGGGAGCACAGATGGAGACCCCAGCCCCACCCCCACCCCAGCAAGATGCACAAGGAGAAGGAGGCAGCGGCTATGCCAGACCTCAGGAGGTTAAAGTTCTTCAGGACAGGAGCCGGGCGCCAAGGCAGCTCCCGCCTGGCATCCCAGCCACGCAGGAGGCTGAGATCTGAGCATCGTGGTTCAAAGCCAGCCCGGGCGGGAAAGCCTGTGAGACTCTGATCGCCCATGAACCCAGAAAACCCGAAGTGGAGTTGGGTATGGCTCAAATGGTAGAATGCCAGCCTTGAGTGAAAAAGCTCAGGGTCAGCACCCAGGACTTGAGTTCAAGCCCCAGGATACTCTGTCTGTCTGTCTGTCTGTCTGTCTGTCTGTCTGTCTGTCTGTCTGTCTCTCTCTCTCTCTCTCTCACAGATTCAGAGGACAGGCTCTGAGTGTTGATTGATGGTTGTTATATAACCTCTCCTCAGTCCTCAGGAGGATCTTTCTTCTTCTTCTTCTTCTTCTTCTTCTTCTTCTTCTTCTTCTTCTTCTTCTTCTTCTTCTTC